AGAGACAGTGCCGCTGTTCCCCTACAGCATTATAGAAGGCGCCGGTAAGCGACTCATCGTAATCAAACCAAGGAGAAACCTGGTCAGCAATAGACTCAGGCTGTTCAAAGACCTGATGACCGACGGTGAGCATTATTTGAAAAGTTGCATGTTAGGCAGAAGTAAGAAGATTAGGGGGAGTGCGATATAATAGTATTTGGTGAGTTGAACATAAATTATTCACAAGTCGACTAATGATAGTAAAAGTTTCTAATAGATGTGCACGTTCTTAGCGGAAACGATCAGGTACGCGATTAACGATGGTGTGCTAAGGAAATACCGTTTAATATGTACAAACTCTCATTAAAAATAACTGGAATTCAACTAGTAAAAATTCCCTAAAAGAATGCGATAATGCAATGAAGAGTTTGTGTTCATATTTACACGGACGCACAAACACTCACCACCACGCACACGCACACGTGCACACACGCACACGCATACACGTGAGAAATGATGAGGGAGGGGCGCAGCCCCCATTCAACGTACATAGTATAGCAGGGGTGGGTCCAGAGAGAGGTTTTCAAGCACTAATTAATTAAATACATTTCATTATACGTTTATTTTATTTCCTCCAAAATTTAAGCGCACAGCTTAATGTAGGAACTTCCGCGGTCATTCCACTTGCGGTCATTCCACTTGCGGTCATTCCGCTTCTGAGCTGCGCTCAATGTATATTTATCCGCAGCCGTGTTCATATGCGACGACGACACAATCATCAGTGAGAGCGAACTGGTTCGTGCCCACACGCTGTGGAGATCGGTAAGTGCCACCAATGGTGACGCGTGAGCACATCGTGCGAATGTGTATGCTGTGCCCTCGATCTCTATGTTCTTTTCTGGCTCATATTGCGACGGTGGTTAGAAACTGTGCGCACGTTAAAAAATTACACTTAAGCACAAAATGGGAAGGTAATTTGTCAATCACGCTGCCATTAGCGTTTCTGTGTTTAGAATTCATGTACAGTAAACACCCGCATAAATTTGGTTATTAATTTGGGTGGGGGGATATTGTGTACATTATCGTACTATACAATATTGTATAGTTTCAGAAAATATTCACACCATCCTCCACCTCAATCCTCTGTATCGTCAAAATCAAATCCCAACATTTACTGGAAAATGAGGCAAAATACCCCCTGGAAAATCCAATCCTCCTGTGAGGAGGTATTAATATTATCTGGAACTACATGTTGTTGGTTTCCAATGGTGTAGCACACATACTTGGGTTGCCCCAGTTTGCTTTAATTTTCGGCATTTTTTTTATATAAGAACCTGTTTAATTTATCAGGCTGAAGAGGTTCTTATATAATAGCTGCTTTGTTGGTCCAATTGCAGCCTGGAGGTTCTTAGAAAATCACGGGTTCTTTTATGCGGGTGTTTACTGTATTCGTGTACCAGCCCCCTGCGTGTGTGTAGAAGATATATATATACATATTTACAAGAGCTATTAATACCTATAATATATACGTGTGTAGCCTACGGGAATACGTAATAGACACTATATGTATCGTAAGTTATTAGAAGGCAGGAGGTGTGAAAACCAAGCCAGTTCTGATTTCCAAAATCTTAATTTTTACTATTGCGCAGTTACTGTAACGTCCCTAAAGGCTAAAATCAACTAGCTGAGTCCCGGATTGATGGGGCAGTCTTCTATTTCCAACACGGATATTACTGTTGGCCTATAATTCACATGTGTACAGTATAACTCGCATTGATAACCCACATGTATAACCCATTCGAGAAATTCATCCAACTGAGTAACCGACTTTCGACTTCCTAGCTCGTACGGATATACACTATATGGAGTTATATATACGGGGGAAGGCGAATGGAGTCGGTTCGCTATTCAAAATCAATATACTTTCTATTCTTATTATTAACGATGCGTATATGACAACGTGTAATTTTATCCCGAAATATAAAAACGCAACGCGTGTCTTCGTTAACCCATCCTCGTTAAACTCACTATATAGTGTTGTATCTCTCTTAGTACCTCAATTAGAGTAGATATCTTTATCTCACATCACTCTTACTCCAATAAATTAGAGGAGATATACGAAACTCAACCTCCACGTTTATTTCTCGAATCCGGAGTTTCTCTCCACCCGGCAAAACGATACATGAACAATAGAACATTACATCTCTTCTTTTCTTTAAAGGAACACAATAACCTGGAGCAATAAACCCTTTGCTATATAACGTACGATGTCCGAACTAAATTCAAACTCATTCCGATAACACAACTGTGGAACAACTAATCTCAAGACATTGTATCTCCAACACAATAGAAACGAAATTCTACTCCATTACATAGTCAGAGTACTTAGCAGGTACTCTCTTTTACCTGTGGGATCTACGATACTGGGTTGTCAAAGAAGATTGTGGCATCTAAGACGTATCTTCAGATGAAGCCTGAACATCTGGATCTATAACTAGTTCTGATACATCACTGTCTGGAACTCCACTATTTGCTCCAGTTTTAATCATTGGTAGCATGGGTGACGCGGTAACTTCTACCCTATCGTCCTGTATGGGAGTACTAGCATTCGACACGTATTTCCTAACATGAGTAGTATTCCTAGAATATTGAGCACCGTTTGGAGCCTCCACTACAAGACTATTACCAAATTTGCTTACGACAGTGTGGGGAACCGGATCGAATGTTGTTGAAAACTTATTGGTTTTCTCTTTCCTGACCAGAACTTTATCACCAACATCAACGCCAGAGTATTGCGCGTTGCGACGTTCGTCAGCGTAGATTTTCGCTTTCCCTTTCTGTTCAGCATCACGATCGCGTACCTCTTTATTGAATTTGAAACGTTCTAAGTGCCTGTGCATAGTTACATCATGATCATGGTGTTATTGCTAGTGGTGATTTACGCCCCCTTGAACTTCTAGTTCTAAGTTCTTGCTCCGCCGATTGCTCGCAGCTCTGGCCCTGTGTGGCTTGGGCTTATTATAAAATTACGCAAATCATAACTGCGGATATACAAATATGTACCTATTTGAACATTGTCAATGAATATTCTTTTGGGTCACAATATTCTTTTAGATCACATTTGTCAAACACTAAATACTTGGTCACTGACACAGTTCAAATAGAGTTGCAATTTACAAAATTCGAGATTCCGACGTTTGTTGATGATGAGCGCCACCTGTTGAGAGAAGCGGAGATGTGCCGCTTGATTACATCTAAAATTACAGTTTTTTATTTTCCGCCGTAATGTATGAAAGAAAGCATCACTGTTTATAACGAACAAGCTAAGATTTCTTTACAATATTATAATTATCTATGCTATTTTTGTTTTTATAAACATTTTTTATGTGTCCATCGTCAACGTCTTCATAAAAAGCCGCGATGATGATCACCGCTATTCAGGGCCGGACTGAGAAAATCATTCAGGCCGGGAAATATAGCACCAGTCAGGCCACTTTTTAGTTTTTAAGCGGGGGGCTGGGGTCCCGGGACTCCCCCACCAGGAAAATCTTTGTTACAAATACTTCATTCCACGTATTCTGGTGAATTTTAGAGCATGTGAATCACAAACTAATGAGCCAACAACTGCATGTACGCAAACTACGTTCGGAGTATAGTATAGCAGGTGCCGCGGAACGATTTTTGAAGTGGGGGTGATCAATTTGTTACGCTCCACAGTGGCCAATCCAGGATTTCAAGGAGGGTGGTGAGAAACAGGCGGGGGGATGTGCAAGTCCTCCCCCAGAAAATTTGGAAAATGTAGAGCGCAGGAGATGGTATTTGAGGCAATTTTGAGTACATGTACACCTTCATTCTGACTACGTCAATTCTCTTTTTAGTAGAACAATTCTTGCGCTTTCAGCGCGGCATTGATTGATGTACAGGGGAGGGGCATTGTTTATGTCGCGTTCATTATTAAATATGTAGGGGGTGACCACCACTGGGATGAGGGCGAAAGCAAAACTCTTTCTTGGAATTGTGAAAAAAAACTGCAAAAGGGCTGTAACCTGCTTTGCCACTCAATTACATAATTTAACCCATGCATCAGGTGCCGTTTTGTACAGCCGCGCGACTATTATACTTGGCAATAATTAATTTGAGGTTATATGTGTAAAAATATTGTTGCTGTGTACGCGAAGCGTGCGCAGGAGGGTGGGTTCGCGCGAAGCGCGGAAGCTCTAGCACTAATGAAATCGGGAGACGTAATAATCAGTGCTCTCCTCACTCTCTCTCTCTCATAAAATTGTATGTGGTGTCAATAAAGTTGGGACGCTCAAGCTTCCTTACCCGCCAGGGGCGTAGCCAGGATTTTCAAAGTTGTAGGCACGACTATCTGAGCGGAGCACCACCATCGGTTGGCGCGGAGCGTACAAGAAAATTGTTGGTTTTACAAACACCCCAGATGGCCGGAAACGGCCCTTCCCGAGTGTTCATTCTGGTTCCCTGGCCTCTTGCTAACTTGAGACACCTCATTCAATATCACTTTCACCCAAAAAACAAACGAGTTAAAATATATATAGTGTTACGAACGAGTTAA